TCGGTTGAATGGAACACACCCCTATACATGGTTTTTGTTGATTTCGAGCGTGCTTTGGACAGCTTATCTCATGATGCGATATGGAAAATTTTAGAGCTAAGAAACATCCCGCATAAAATAATTTCCATTATAAAGTTACTGTACACTGAAGCGAAATGCAGCGTGACACACAATGGGATCAACAGTGACGAATTTGACGTACTTACTGGAGTCAGACAGGGATGCGTGCTTTCTCCGTTTCTTTTTAACATAGCTCTAGACTATGTTCTCTCCAAACTAGACTCTGACACAAGAGGGATACAATGGACGTTAACCACACGCCTAAGCGATCTAGAATACGCCGACGATATCTGCCTGTTAGGACAAAGGTTCCAAGATGTGGCTGACCAATTGGAAACACTCTCCACTGAAGCCAATAAAATAGGTTTGAAAATCAATATTGGTAAAACCAAATCCATGAGAATAAATGCAAGAAACAACACGCTATTCACCATTAATAACATGCAGATTGAAAATGTGGAAAACTTTACGTATCTTGGAAGTGTCATAACAGAAAGCGGAGGTACAGAAGACGATATTCGTATGAGGATACGAAAAGCGCAACAAGCTTTCAGCATGCTCAACCCTGTTTGGAGGTCTGGAGACTATACTACGAAGACAAAGATCCGCATATTCCAGTCAAATGTCATGTCTGTACTACTTTACGGATGTGAAACCTGGAAAGCGACAAAAACCCTTACAGACAAACTGCAGGTCTTTGTTAATAAATGTCTACGAAGAATGTTCGTATTTTCTGGCCTAACATCATCAGAAACGAAGATTTACTACATCTGACCAAACAAAAGAGGGTAGTAAATGAAATAAAGTCCAGAAAGTGGGGTTGGATCGGTCACACACTCCGAAAAAATAACTCCAGTATTGCAAAGACTGCCCTAGAGTGGAATCCCCAAGGAAAACAAAAAAAAGGTCGCCCAGTACAAACTTGGAGAAGATCCATCATGGACGAGATAAGAAAATAAGGAAAGTCTTGGAATGAGGTGAAGGCCTTAGCGCCTTAGCGCAATAGAACCCGATGGCGCGTTTTCACTGAAGCTCTATGCTCCACTTAGGAGTTCAAGAACCTTATATATATATATATTTGCACCTTCTATTGATTTTTTGATCGTCTTCCATTCTGTGCTTATGTCTTCTGCTTTATATTTCTCTTTTATTTGAACTGTTATTGCCTCTTCATATTTTTTTCTTACTTCTTCATTACTCATTTTATTGACATTCCACTTTTTATGTTGGTTTTTTTATTTTGTTTCAATTTTAACTTTTTGTCTTATAGTGGCTGTGACCATTTAGTGGTCTGAATCTGCACACGTACCTCTGAACGTTCTTACATCTTTTATTGACGATTGTTTTCGTTTATTAATCATTAATATTGTTCTGAAGCTATTTTCTTGTGGCATTGTGAATTAATTACTATTAAACTGGGAATAAGCCACAATTAAAGATAAAAATACGTTTATTGACGTTTCAATTTCCACTTCGGAAATCGTTCTCAAAATACAAACAGTAAATTTAATTGTGGCTTATTCCCAGTTTAATAGTAATTAATTAATCATTATGTGATCAACTTGACTATATGTTTTCTGATCTGGTGACCTCCATGTTACCTCATGTATTTTAGAGTGTTCAAATTATGTTGAGCTTATTAACAAATTTGTTCTTGTTGCTAGGTTACATAGTCTTTGCCCATTGTCATTCGTGTTTTCGTGTATTGTATGCTTTCCTGCAATTTGTTGTAAAAAGTCCTCTTTTCCAATCTGGGCGTTGAGGTCTCCTAGTACAAATATGACATCATGCTAAAATGCGCAAATTATAACCTAAAATGTGTAGATTGCATAGTATCTCTTTCCAGTCGATATTATTCCTGTTGCATGTTGCAAACAGGTACATTTGAGTCGAAAACTTCCACCGCGATGCACCGAATAACGCAAAATAAACATGCCCCTCACAAACTTCACACTTACAATTGGCGGTTTTTTAATTCGTGGAACGAGAACTTTCCAACTAATGGAATATTCCACGAAGCAGAAAATTATTCATCACCGGCCGTGATTGGATTTTTCCTGGGAAAACGAACATCCAACTTTTCTACACCTACGCAACGTTGGTAAACCAATTATGTTTTTAATATTGGATTTAAATCGGTATATGTGGATACTGAGTTCGATAATATACTTAATGCGGGGTTTAGAGGGTTTATTGTAGGTGAAAAATATATTGCCCCAGTCAATTTATTTAAAAAATCATCAATTTTACGTAGAAATTCGTTTTGAAGGTTCTAAAAGGTACAGAGTGACAATTAGCGATAGAACGAAGAAAATACTATTTTATTAACATCAAAATGAAGCTTATATTATGCTATTTACAATCTAATTAAGTATGGAAAATAATGTCATCAAGATGGTGACCATCACGTTGGATGCAGTTTTGGATCCTCTTTATGAAATCCTCCATAACACGCTCTAACATCGCTCGATCAATGGTCAGGATTTCCTGGCGAATTGCGTTCTTCAACTCGATCAAATGACGAGGCTTGCTAGCATATACACGACTCTTTAGATCCCCCATAGAAAAAAAATCACAAATTGACAGGTCCGGAGACCTTGGACGCCACGGCAAATCTCGGAAATGTAAAATGAGTTGTCCTGGGAACAGGTCCTGGGAACACATTCCTTGGATTTATCCCTTTTTTGTGCGTAGTTCTCGAACCAAAACATTTTGTATGGCCAGCCTCTTCGAAAAAATATGGCCCAATAGTGCCAGTCGGACCAATGGCACACCACACTATGACTTTTTGAGAATGTAAAGGATGCTTCAGCTCAATTGCATGTTTTCGGCCAGACCGTGTAGGTCTTCTGACGATGGCATCTCTCACTCGCTGTATATTTTCAGGAGTTTTTACTGTTCTATTCGAACCCTGTTGCTTTTTTTTTCCATGGCACTGCCTGTTGTTCTAAAATTCTGTATCCATCTGAAGATTGTGTTGCGAGATGGAACCGCTCCAAGCCTACCAATATTAAAGTATCTCTCATATACCACCCCGTATATGAGCGATAGCTGATAACTAGATTTAGGCAATTATACAAAAAAACTGAAAAATATGCGAATATTATGCAGAAAATTGGTTAAAATCGCAATGTGATTTTGTTGTTGATGTTAGAACATGAATCAAGAAGACTCAAGAATGAGTTGTTAGAACAAAAACATGATACGTTTAACATGCATAAAAAGGTGAAACAAGCAGCTGGTCTTCAGAAATCCAACACAGCTAACAAACTGCGAGACCAACAGGGGAATATCATCACAGACAAAAATCAAGAAATCCGCATATGGACAAAATACATACAAGAACTCTTTGATGATACTAGATCCGAACAACCTCCATCCTACATATGTGATGACCACTTACCAATCACATCAGATGACGTGCAAAAAGCCATATTACAACTAAAAGACGGCAAAGCTCCTGGACCAGACAATGCATATGCTGAGCTCATCAAACTATTTAACACCGACGGTATTCAATACCCAACAACAAAGAAAACAAAATTCGTATCCTGCAGTGATTTCCGAATCATCAGCTTAATGAGTCATATTTTAAAATTATTTCTAAAGATCATACATCAAAGGATATATAGACTGTGCGAAGAAAAAATCAGCCGTACACAGTTTGGTTTTCGGAATGCAGTGGGTACGAGAGAGGCTCTCTTTAGTATACAAGTGCTATTTCAACGATGTAAAGACGTCAACTGCGACATTTATGCATGCTTCATTGACTACCATAAAGCGTTCGATACAGTAAAGCACGACAAGCTGATGGAGATATTAACCAATATTGGAATAAACACCTGTGATTTAAGAATTGTCAGCAATCTGTACTGGAATCAAACATCATCTATCCGGACAGAGGCAGGAGAATCCGACGATATCAAAATCAAACGTGGCGTCCGTCAGGGATGTATACTATCACTACTGCTGTTTAACATATATTCTGAGGAAATCTTTCAAGAAGCAGTGGGTGATGTTGAAGCCGGAGTTCAAATCAATGGAGAATCTATCAATAACATTAGATACGCGGACGACACGGTAGTATTCGCTGACAGTTCTGAAACCCTCCAGGAGTTAATGAACAGAATCACAGAGGTCAGTCAGAGATACGGACTTTCACTAAACACTAAGAAAACAAAATGCATGATGATCTCTAAGAAGAAACAGCAATTTGGACAAATCAGTGTAAACGGTCAACAAATAGAAAGAGTAAAAACATACACCTTCCTTGGTACGAACGTCAATGAAAATTGGGACTAGTCCATAGACATCAAATGTAGAATAGAGAAAGCAAGACCTGCATTTCAAAAAATGGCTAAGTTATTCAAATGTCATGATTTATCAATGCCCATAAAGATCAGGTTACTACGATGTTACATCTTTCCTATACTGTTGTACGGAGTTGAGTCATGGACTCTCACAGACGCCACCTGCAAGAAAATTGAGGCTTTTGAAATGCGGCTTTATGGTCGCATCCTAAAGATATCGTATACCGACCACGTTACTAATGAGGGTGTTCTGTTGAGAATCAAAAAAGAAAAAGAGCTATTAACCACAATAACAACAGCCAAAATCGAATACCTCGGTCACATCATGAGGAACAGCGAAAGATATGGACTGCTGCAAGTAATCTTGCAGGGAAAAGTAGAAGGACAACGGGGACCAGGAAGGCGAAGGATTTCCTGGCTGAAAAATCTACAAACGTGGTTCAACACAACAACCACAAATCATTTTAGAGCAGCAGTGTGCAAAGTGCAGATTGCCATGATGGTCGCCAACATCCGAAGCGGATAGGCACTACAAGAAGAAGAAGAACATATGCACTATACATTTTTTTAAAACTTTTTTTGTTGTTATGCATTTTTTGTTGAATACTTCAACTTTTTTCTTTGTTTCAGGTGTGCTCGACAGCTGAAAATCTAACGTGAAGTCCCAGAAGAAGATTACCATCAAACAACATTATAGCATGATTTTCTTATGAAGGTGAGTGGAAGATATGTATTTATTCTTCTTGTTGTTGTACAGTTAATATCGATTCATGCTGTAATACTTCTAGGAGGTTACCATTCCACTTACCATATTTCGTTACCTTTTTTATAGGTTTTCCAACTTTTCTACTTTCATCCATTTTTTTTTTCGCGACTATACCATTGATGTGATTTATTTCTTCTTCAGTCTTCTCCCTGACTTAAGGCACGTATTATTTTTATGATGTTAGTGGGGGTTTCCTTCTTTTTAAGTATGTCTATAATAGTCTAACAAACTATCTAAGAGAGTTATGCATATTTAGATCAGTGGAGTGCTATTGTTCCGATGTGTAAAATTCCATAACAAGGGATCACCTTTACAATAGCACCATACTGAGCTAAATATTAATGATTCTCTTAGATAGATAGCTTTTTGGACTTTACACTGTGCATTGAAACCTTGTCGAGTGCCTTGATTAAATCTACAAAGTACATATAGTACTATTTTTATGTATTAATTCTTACATACAGTTCATCCTTCAATATTGTGTAGAGTAACGGTTGTATCTAGGTGCGGTATTTTCCCATTGCCTTTTGAATACGAATATGCTTGCTGTTCTTCTTATTCTTCTTCTTTTTATATAGATATGATGAAACCTCAATACTCCGGGAGTATTGAATTTTAGGAAATGTAGAACTTCCAAATTTCAGAAGAACTGGAAGAGAGGTGATGAAAATACTAAAAATATGGCTAAGCTCAGAGGAACAAAGTTAAATGGCCAAAGAGACACTAAATCTCAAGTGAGTGTTCGGCCTAGCTTCAATGCACTGGATTGTGGCTTTAAAGATATAAACAGATAGCTAGGATACTGAGCTAATGAGACAAGAAACGAAATGGGACCTGGTAATATCAAATGGGACAGGAAACAAATGATACTAGAGATAATAACCTGAAATACAAAATATTAAATACCAATCTTGTCTTGCTATATTGTATACTGGTTAGTAGAACTGAAATAAAACTCAAAATAGTAACAATAAATATATTTATAAAAATGTGTATATAGATATATATGTATGAACAATTTACATATAAAGCAAAACTAAATAACAGTGGTAGTGGGTGTGTAAAGATACAATAGGACCAAATAGCCCCTCAACAAGCGAATAATCACTACCACTGGCCAAATAAAGTATAAAAATATTAGTAACATCAAGAATAGTCCGTATGGTAGCCAAGGTCTTAACAATAAAGGTTAGTAATTTAAATTTAAATAGTTCTACTAAAATTAGATACTAATGACAATATTGTAAAGATATCAAAAGTGATAAATCTGTTACAATTCTATTAAATATATTACATTCAAAAGTGAATCTTCATTACTTCTTATATAATGTTTTAAAAAAAAACCACATGGAATTTACTTCCCTCCCCAATATCAAAATTGTATTATATCAAATGTATTGTATTAAAAAATATATTATAGCAAAAGTGAGTTTGGTCAGTACTCTTGAAATCCCAATTAAAATAAAACCTCATAAAACATGAAGGGTATTTTCCCTCTCCCAATAATATCAAAATTATATTTTATCAAAATGTAGTCACTTGATCATATGCATATGAAAAGTTAACAAAATAGACAGTAACAAAAAAATTACACAGTCAAACAACTTATCTTTACAGCACTATAAGTCCATAGGAAAAACTCCTCTTGGCACGGCTAAATCAGTTTGTTGCTGTAAAGGACAAATCCCAGGTGAGTCTGGGCATAAAACCAGTCACTGGTCTATCTGGAGTGACGGCAAAATCCAGGAGAGTTGCTAACCATTTAAGAAATTTTGTTACTAGTCCTTGAGGGAATATTCTTAAGAAAATATCCTCAAGTGAAGTGACGGAATATGGAGCCGCAGCACGCCAAAAAAAAATCTCCCTTTTATGTGGAACTCTTATAAATGAATCTTGCTTTTAATAAATTAATTATTATTATTATTAGTACTTATGAATTATTTTATTCTTCCCCCAAATTATGTTCCTTGCTCCAATTCCGTCACTTTGAAGGTGAAAAAATTTCACCGGTTGGCGTGTCTGCGTAGTGAGTCTCTTGACCAAACTGATCGTTCTCGTACAGACTCGACCAATTTTCCTTTCTAAGCGACTACTGCGCGTGTGGGGAAAAATGTCCATTTAAAAATCGATCGCTGGCGGAACACAAGAAGTTTCTTGAGGGGGTTAATCAGTAGCGTAAACGCTACAATGACTTCATCTGCTTTTCAATGTGCCTGCAGTAAGTTGTCGTCCCATCGTTTTCGTGATCTTCCTACTGATTGTCTTTCTATTGGTGAACCGTCTCTTGCCTTATTTACTACTTTATTTGTTGACATGCGGCTTATGTGATCGTTCCATTTTACTCTTCTATTTTTTACCCAGTTCTTGATGTTCTCCATCTTGCATCTGCGTCGTGTATCTGTACTTCTAGCTCTGTTCCATAGTGTCTTACCATCAATTTTTCGTCTCTGCTGTTTCTAACATCCATTTTGTCCTCTCTCTTTTAGGTCTTGTTTTTGCCGCGTATGCCATTATTGGTTTGATGACTGTTTGGTTAATTCTGCCTTTTGTGTATTTCCCGATATGTTTATTTTCCCATGTTGTTTCATTCAGGAGCCATTCACTTGATCTTTCCGTAGATAATGTGATGCCTAGATATTTAAACTCCCATCACTTGTTCTATTATCTGACCTTCCAGTTCCAATTTACATCTTAGTAAATTTGCTGCTGTAACCATGCATTTTGTCTATTTTGAGAAAATTAACATACGTCGTAATCCATCTTCACTTTGAGAGAGTAGTATTGCGTCGTTTGCATAGCAGATTATTTCAAGTTGTTTTTCTCCCATTTGATATCCTTTAGAAGACTCAGGGAATCTCCCTATCTTATCCCATTCCCATCTTCAATAGGGTCGGTTAGTTCTTCTCCTACTTTTATTGTGTTGTTTTGGGTATATATTTTCTATCGTTTTGATTATTCCTAGAGGTATCTCTTGTATACAATAAGTGGATAACGTTCTTTAATTTGACGTGGTCAAATGCCTTCTTAAGGTCCTCCAAACATAAATATGCCAGTTTGTTGTATTCTAATGATTTTTCTTGCACTTGCCTCATTATAAATATAGCGTCGGTGCATGATCTTCCCAACCTAAAACATTGTTGTTGTTCTGCTGGTGTTTTCGCGTTTTAATAAATAGTATAATTAATTCTCTGGCTAGTTTAGACTGCCATACTTTAGGAATTCCATATACATTTTTATAAGTTAATTACATAGTTTTGTTTTTTGATATTTTTTCAGTTTTAGCCCTATTTCTTGATATCGACTGCGTCTATCTTATCCTTATTTCAAATAATTACATTCATTGGCAAATATTGATCCTTTTGTTCCAAAAAAAGCAAACTTACATAGAAAATTTCGAACAATTCATCTCCACAATGTTAATATCATTGTGTAGTCTGAAATCTGTCATCCACCTATCTACAATTTGCCAACTCCCGATCTCTAATTCGAACAGTTGTACAAACATACATTTTAAAATAGATTTAAGTTGGTTATAGAATTTATTCGTTTTTTTATTTACAACATCGATCTAAAAATAATTCTTAATGATTTATAGCTTTGCCAACAATGTTTAATATGTAAGCACTTCAGGTTCTAAAATAAATAGAGATATTTATAGCGGATGGATCTGAAGTTTATGCAGATAAACAAAAGGATACAAAATTTTGAATATTTATTTCAATAATTTCATTAGGAAACAGTAAAATATAGTTGGCACTTCTACCATCAAAATCATAGATATACGTCAGATGAAAAAAAAGAACCAACGGGACCTGTCTCTCCGTTCAAGCAGTGTAAAAAAAGTGATGACAAAGAACTAACATTAACCCGGCATCCGACACGTGAGGTGTGAAAACCCCAGAGTTCAGAGGCCGGCTCCACAAATGGGATCCAACGTTGGCGCAAACGTTGGAGCCAATGTTGGGTCAACGTTCAGTGAGGCATCCACACATTGGGGTGAGGCATCAACCGCAATACCAATATTAGCGCGAATACCTTTGATGTGTACGCAAAAATCGACATTCAACGCAAAACTTCCAACGTTGAAGCAAGTCAGAAAAACGTTGGCGCCAACATTGGCTCTAACACAGTTTTGTCGGTGTACACATTGAACGAACGCTGTTGGTGCCAACGTTGACCCGAATGTGTAGAGTTGTAGAGCCGACGTAAAAGTTCAATTTTTACTTAACGGATAGATTCAGTGATTGTGAATTCTGTATTTGTGGTGACTACAATCTACCTGAGGCATCCTGGGATAATCTTAATAATGGTGTTATATTGAGTGTCCGCATTACTCACCAGCAAATATTATTTGTCCTTGCTACAATTTTCAAAATATGTCACAAGTAAATGCTTTGCCTAAAGTCTAAATAAATTTTTAGATTTACTGTTCTGTACTCAGAAGGATGCAGTTGTGTCGATTTCAACTGATATTCTATTGAATACTTCGCAATATCATTCAGCTTACACTATATTGCACTTTGAAAATAAGGCTATTATCGAGCACAAGTTAATTAAATCTAGCCCAAGTACTTTCGCTTAAAATAGCATCTTCAGGGGCATCTGAAATAAGCCAAGAAAACGTTTTTTAGATGAAGTAAATTAGTTAACTTCGATAAAAAACTCGAAGTTAATGGATGAAAAAAAGGTTTTGAGATTAACGTTTTAGACTTACTTCGTCAAAATGTAAACTATCCGGCAAGCGTAGAATGTGGAAACATTAAAAATAACATAAAATTGTACAAAACACTACACTAAAACGAGGACAAACAGTTTAAAATTACTTAAAGATTCCAAAGTTTAAAATTACTTAATGATCTAAGCGGAAATGATACGGTGACATGTGACATATGACAACTTTGATAGGCAGTCAAAGTTTTATGGATCTGTGATCAGCAAATATTAAAATT